GAACGTATAACAGGAACAAGAAAGGCAGTGGAGGGCTGTGACGTTGTGCAGTCTATATGGTTTTATAAAAACATAGTAAGAAGTGAATATAATTAGGGTTACCATATGTCCGGGTTTCCCCGGACATGTCCGGCTTTTGGGTCTTTAAATAGCCGTCCGGGGGGAATTTGTAAAAAGCTAAAAATGTCCGGGATTTCCCCCGGACGGCTATTTAAAGACCCAAAAGCGAGGACAGGGCAGCCGCGCTGGGGGAACTGCGGCAAGCCGGCGCCGCCAGCGCCACTCACCTTTCCTCCCTGGGCCCTGGGGCAGCGCGCAGCTGAGAGCTCCCGGCACGGCGGCGCCAGCCCACGGGGCCCCCGCCTGGCCGGCAGGAGCCTGCAGAGCCCAGCCCTCCCCCTGCCCCGGCACACAGAGAGGCAGGGAGGTCTCACTCCCCTGCGTGCTGCAGCGGGGCGGGGCTTGTAGACTCCGGCAGCAGGCAGCAGTCGCCGGGCAGAGAGCCCCCCCCGCCCCTGCCCCCCTCCCCTCCACCTGACCCGACCCTAGGAAGGGGCCAGAGGGACTGGGAGGGACCTGCCTGCTGGATGCTTCCTGGGAGCCGCTCCAGGTAAGCACTGCTGGGCTCACCTGGCCCCCTGGCAGGTCCCTCTGGGGGGGCTCCCCTCAGCCCCACTGCCCCCAGCCCCCACCCTGACCCTGTTCCCTCAGCCTCCCCTGCAGTTCCCCCTGTACCTCCCACCCCGAACCCACTGTCCTCAGTCCCTGCCCCCGTTCCAACAGCCTCCTCCACAGTCCCCCTGCTCCCCCCAACCCACTGCCCTCAGCCTTGCCCTACCCCAAATCTCTTCTTCAGCCTCTCCCGTCATCCCACCCCCATCGCTCCCCCTGCTGTCCCACCCCCTCAACTTCCCACCATTCCAGTACTGCTCCCCTCTGTCTCATCCCCTCCAGACCCTGTCCCTCTCCCCAACCCCCCGACCTTCCCCAGCCCAGCCCCATTGTCTCCCCCGCCCCACCCCACTCTACACAGCTCTCTCTACCCTGTCCCATTCATGCTCCCCTCAGCCCCTACCCTACTCCCCCCATCCCAGTCCTGTCCCATCCCCCTCAGCCCCCCCCAGTCCCAGTCCTGTCCCCCTCAGTTCCTCCACCCTGCTTCCCCCGGTCCATCCCCACACACCCACCGACTCCCTCGACCTCCCTCCCCCCAATCCCACTGCCTGGACCCACCCCCGTCCCACTCAGGACATGCATGAAAAAGAAGCAATGGGCTTAAATTGTAGCAAGGGAGAGTTAGGTTAGATATTAGGAAAAACTTCCTAACTGTAAAGGTAGTTAAGCACTGGACAAATTACCTAGAGAGGTTATGGAATAGCAGTCATTGGAGTTTTTTAAGAGGTTAGACAAACACCTGTCAAGGATGGTCTAGTTGTTATTACTCAGTCCTGCCTCAGTGCAGGGGTTTGACTAGATGACCTGTTGATGTCCCTTCCAGTCCTACATTTCTGTGATTCACACTGAATTGCCTTGTGCCACTGTCTAGTAGTAGTGGCACACAGTTCTCTGACATGCAGGTTTATAAAATTGTAGTTAATATACAGTTTAGAGTATAGCAATTTTAAAGCTCTGCATGTTCAGACCAACTGAGCTGAAAATTGTGATCTTGTATTCAAAACTATTAAGATGTGGGCTGAAATAAAATCAGCATGAATTGCTCAACAATATCAATGGAATCAGCATTGCGCTGCTATATATTGTAAAACATTACAGTAAAATCTTGCAAGTATTACATAGCACGCCACCTTGCCCAAGTGGTAACTAAGCATAACATCTTCCTGTTTCAACATTCTTAACTTGTATCCCTCCTAGAAGTTGTTTTTTTTCAAACACTGAATGCTGCTAAGTTATGAGTTTTAACAGGTTTTTTTTCTTTTAAACCACAGCACTGAATGTTATTCTAAAATTGTTTTCCAAATATTCTTAAACTCCCAGTTTATCCCCCGCTGATGTTCATTGTGAAAAGTATTGCAGTCTAATAATAATATTTGGCACTTTTGTAATTCACTGTCCAACATGTGTTTTGTGCCCTCCTCTGGTGGATTTTTAGAGGATAACTGTATAGCTACCAGCTAAGGGAGTTATAGCTTGAACTCAAGTAGTAGAAGCTCATGCTTTTAAGTCTGGATGGCTCGGGTTCAATCTCTGGTGACTAGTTATGATGGAGGTTGCTACACTTATAATCCCTTTAATCAGAGGTTCTGAATATGCTTTGTTGTAGGCAGAACTAGCCTATAGTTAAGCAACCGAAAATTTAGAATGGGAAGTGTTGAAATGTTGGGAAGCCTTATAATTTTGCCAATCTGGAACGAACATCCCATCTGAGGGATAGGGGCGGGGAGAGAGGAGAGTGAGACAGGACCAGGAAACTGGGACAAGGAATCCAGAGCTGTAGTGGGGGGCAGTTGAAATCAGATGAGGAGCTGGGGCGGGTTAGACAGCAATAGGATAGACATAGACTGGAGGGGACGGGGAAGAAGGGTCTTTGACTACTAGAGACCACTCCATTCTCTGAACATTTGATTCGCGGGAAGCAGGGGAGGGGGAAGAGTAGGGGGCGGAGCGTTCAGGGGAAGGGGCGGAGTTGGGGCGGGGAAGGGGCGGAGTTGGGGCGGAGCCAGGGCCCCTTGGAGTGTCCTCTTTTTCCAGGACTGCAATATGGTAACCCTAATATAATGTAACTGGAATAGTTTTATAAAAATATGATAATAAGTGAATATAATGTAACTGGAATATGCTTCATGCAAAAAGTCTCTTGTAAGGTATCATTACAAAGCTTATAATCCACTGAGTGTAATCATCCTATTTGTATAAATGTACCACTCTTGTATCTAAAACTAGAAATATGAAATATAACTCTGAGGGCCTATTGTAATTATGCAAAGTGTGGGCCATTAATAGTGGTTTGGAATCTTGATGACTCCCATTAGCCAGGACCATTGTCTGCAGATGGCTGTGTTTACCTGTTAGTCTTCCTGTATATGTGTGTGCTGGCAAGTGGGTAATGAAGTCTTGCAGTGACATGTGATCATGTCACCTGACCTGGAATCCATCTTTAACCTGGGTGCTTTTCCAGTGAGGGAGGGGGATGGAAACCCAGAGGGACAAAGGGTTCCTGCCTTATGCAAAAGATATATAAAGGGGTGGAAGAGAACAGAGGAGGGGAGGAGCCATCATGAAGAATCCTCTAGCTATCACCTGAGCTGCAACAAGAGCTGTACCAGGGGAAAGAATTGTGCCTAGGCCTGGAAGGTGTCCAGTCTGAGAAAAACTTACTGAAGCATCTCTGAGGGTGAGATTATCTGTATTCAGTTTGATTAGACATAGATTTGCGCATTTTATTTTATTTTGCTTGGTGACTTACTTTGTTCTGTCTGTTACTACTTGGAACCACTTAAATCCTACTGTCTGTATTTAATAAAATCACTTTTTATTTAGTAATTTACTCAGAGTATGTATTAATACCTGGGGGAGCAAACAACTGTGCATATCTCTCTATCAGTGTTATAGAGGGTGAACAATTTATGAGTTTACTCTGCATAAGCTTTATACAGGGTAAAACGGATTTATTTGGGTTTAGACCCCATTGGGAGTTGGGCATCTAAGTGCTCTAGACAAGCACACTTCTGTGAGCTGTTTTCAGGTAAACCTGCAGCTTTGGGGCACGTGATTCAGACCCTGGGTCTGTGTTGGAGCAGATGGGAGTGTCTGGCTCAGCAAGACAGGGTGCTGGGGTCCTGAGCTGGCAGGGAAAACAGGAATAGAAGTAGTCTTGGTACATTGGGTGGCAGCTCCCAAGGGGGTTTCTGTGATCCAACCTGTCACAGAGGGATGATTCATTGTCATGTACTGAGAGGCAGAGCTGGGCTAGAGGGAAAGGTTGGAGTCCTAGCTAGGCTCAGGACCAGACCAGCTTGTCGGATTATTTTTAGTTCCTGTCCTGTCTCTTGCAGATAATGTTGGACAATGAGCTTCTGCCCTCCCCTCAGAGATACCTGCAGGAAGGGTACAAACCTAGCTCGAGAATTACTGGCCATTGTCCCAGGCCACCCCAAGGCTAGTTAGTGGGAAGGCAGAGCTCCCCTTAGGAGCTGCAGTGAGCTGGAAATGCTTAGTGTCTAGTGTGTGCTCATTAGCAGGTGCACACATGCCCTGGTTTCATAAAAAGGGTCACTTACCAGCACAAAAGATCTGTGTGTGCGCACACACACACACACACCTGAGGCCACGTTACTGCCTGTCCCTGCTGCAGGAACACTCAAGAATAAAAATCCAGACAAGTCTCCTCAGCACCCACAAGCCAGAGACGCCATTAGCTAAATGCATGCAAGGGCCTGCCCTGCCTACTCCCTGGTCCCATGATGCCTCTGTGCTTTCCAAACCCAGGCAGGTACCAGGGCATGTTGCTGTGACTTTTAAAAGCCACTGTTGAGGCAGGGAGCATGTTTTGCTGCGTCCATCCAGCCCGTGCACTACAGTCAGTTCAGCACAGCAATAGCCTGTTTTTCACACTGTGACAAGGCTGCAGCCTCCTAGGACACCCTGCTTGTTCCTGTGCTGCACACACCCCACCATCGCTCAGAATTCCATGGGGACAGCAGGGATAGAACTCAGAACTCTCTGCTCCAAACACACAACTCCTACCGCTCAGGCTCAGTTAGAATCTGCATGGGCTGCTAGCAGCATAGGGCCTATGACATACAGCTGAAGAGTTTCAGTTCATCTACTAGCGGGCAGTGGTGCACATACACAGTAGCCGGTTAATTACATTATCATTAACACACTCATGCAAGGACTGACATTCCCCCGCAAGGGGTATTAAGCAAGAATCCGAGGGCACGGAAGCACTCATTACAAAGACCCAGGTTTCACTGCGGCAATGTGTTCTCTCCTCCCCACAATGACTGTGGGTCCCCGATTTTGTAGGGCCCCATCCTTACCAGTTTGGTTTTGTCCATGGCAGCCAGGACAGCAGTGTTCAGTGCTTCCAGAGCAGAAAGCACATGCCTGTATTCTCCCAGGTGTTCCGAGAAATAATCTGGAGTGGGACAGAAGGTCAAGGTTAAATTTCAAAGCAATTCCATCAAGGCCTGTCTCCATCCTGCTATTTCCTAGGAAACCTGCTGCTGGGATCTTATTTTGTTCTGTGCCCTCACCTGGATTGGCAGCTGAGGCTCATTTTCTACACAGCAGGCATTTGCAGTGCCAGACATAACGAAACGAGGTCAAATTCTGCTCTCCGCTAACTCATGTTAATTGCATTGAAGTCAGTGCAATGACTCCAGATTGACACCCATGGAATAGGGCAAAACGCCCTTTCCTTCCCAGGGATCAAAATGTCCCACCCAAGGGAAAACCCCAGGCTTTCCAACTTGCAGAGTTCCTGCAATATCATCCTGTCACAACTGGATGAGATGCACAAATAGGAACGGCCAGACTGGCTCAGACCCGAGGTCCATCTAGACCAGTGTCCTGTCTCCACCAGTGACTAGTGCCAGATGCTGCAAAGCAAGAAACCTGGGCAATTCTGAAACAATGTCCCTGGACTAATTCATTTAGAGGTACCGAGCTGGTGGCCCTACTTACCACACAACTTCTCCGTCTCTAAGTTGCTGCAAGAAACAGAAAAACAAACTCTCATTAGAGGACGAGCTGTGTCTCAAGAGAAACAGTTGCTGCAAATGGCCAACAGAGCTGCTGACACGAAGCCCTAATGAACTCTCTAGTTCACATACTGCTCATCAGCATGTTTTTAAAAGCTCTATTTAAAAAATAGATGAGTTACACAGGTGTTCAGCAGGGGCCTGATTCTGAGAGAGGTTCGGCACCTGCTGCTCCCAGCTACCTCCAAGGCAGCAGCAGGATCAGTAGCCATGGATCAGGTTGCAGTGTATTCACTTTGTCCTGGTTTTCTATGCAAGCCAATCGTTCTGGTTCTCAGGGTGAAATTTGGAATGGTAACCAGGAGAGTGACGGGTTCAAAGGGCCAGGTTCTAACCTCTCCCACAGCACTGGGGAGTCACAGGCTTTGTTTCAAGAGGGCAGGGGCTCGCCAATAAGAGCAAAGCACTGCTTAGAATTTATTTTTAAAGCAAGATCATGCAGGGGCCATGTCATGTTCAAAAGTGTCCTTCCAGAGCCATCAGCAAATGAGCTCAGGCCCTTCCTGCGTGCTGGAGGCAACATTCATCTTGACTAGCCACTAGTGGAAAACCAGGCTACTGCAGTAGATACATGGATGAGAACCTTAACCCTGACACAGGGAGCCACCGAGGGAGAAGCTGGTTTCTGGGCATGTGGCTTATCTAGGCATGGAAACACAGACCTGCATGGAAACTTGAGCGTGACCTGTGGTCCCCATATCAGAACAGAGCTGCAGGATGGGAGGACAGAATAGGGGAATGTCAAGGGTGCAGGGTGAGCTGTGCTTTTGACCCCTTCTAGTCCCTCTCAAGTGCACACCTCAGGTCACATGCCCGGTTCCTGCACCTCTCTCTGGGTGGAACACTTTGATCCAACCACTCCGGGACTGGATTGCTGGGCTGCAGCCCCTGCTTCCCAATCGTGTGAACAGGACAGGCCCACCCGGGTTTGGCACCTGTACGCCCTTTCCATCCAGGGACCTGTAACCAGTGAGCCAGTTAAAGTGACTCCAGTACAGCTTCTTCAAAGCAAAGCAGTATTCGTTCACCCACTGGTATGTGGCACTCACAGCAAAGGATATCATAGGGTTAGAAGAGTCATCCAGTCTAACCCCCTACACAGTAAAGGTCTATACACCTATTTCCCCTTTCCTAACCCACAATCTTTCCTTGCAAGCCTTTAAATTCCATTCAGCCCAGTTACCTCCATCTCTGGGATGTGAGACGCAGCCTGCACTGCTGCAGCATGCGCTCCCTATCTCTCCAGCGACATCTACACCACACGCTAGGGGAGTGATTCCCCCACTCACATACATGCTCACTCTCTTACTAGTAGGGTGACCAGATGTCCCAATTTTATAGGGACAGTCCCCATTTTTGGGTCTTTTTCTTATATAGGCTCCTATTACCTCCCACCCCCATTTTTCACACTTGCTGTCTGGTCACCCTACTTACTAGCAGCATAGCCATGGTAGTGTTACGCCAACAGACTCTGGTTGGCAGCCAGAATCAAACCTGGGACCTCTGGAGCTTAATGCATGAGCCTCTAATGCATGAGCTGAAAGACACATCTCTCTTAGCTAGGGCTGTAGCAGGCTCATCACTCGTTGGTCTAGCTGCCACTAGAGGGGGACAGCACAGCACACCGAACAGGCAGGGGTTACAGGGCTGAGCTGTGCTGAGTACAAACCCACCTGAATCACACCCCAGCTTGTAGTGTAGACATAGCCTGTCAGAGACTCACCTCCAGCCGCCCTGCTGGCCCCTCCCCGCCCCTTCTGCCGAGGATAGTGTCTCTCAGGTTTTAGTAGCCTCTTTGACCCTGTGTTCAGCCTGGGAGGAATACACTTCACTAACCTAGCTGGAGCCAGGTGGGAGGTATTCCCCAATTATCTGTTTCCCCAAGGGCCCTTGGTATGCATCTTCTCTTTGCCATTCCCTGCTGGTTTCCCCCTTACCGCCCCCTTTGATTTCACCCTGTGCTGCAGGCAGGGTGATATCATGCAGTGCACGGAGGTACACACAGCGTTTATAACAAAATCTTACTGCTAGTTAACTCTTTGCCCATGGGGAGACAAGAGCTCATGGCCAGCCTGGGTCTCCCCATTCTGGCCCCTTCATCTCCCAGGCAGATATTGCCTCCTCCCTCCCCTCTGTCCTCCACAGAGGATCTATGCTGGCTGGGCACTGGCAGGGAAGCATTGAGAGCAGAGGGTGACAGTCAACCCACTGCCTGCCCTCAGTGCCAGTGATACAGGGAGGAGTCACTGCAGAGGAAAATCCTGTTCGGTCCTGCATGCATGAAAGACTCAGTAGTTGGAGCTGGAATAGGGGACTGTTGCAGGGAATTCAAGGCAACCACTGGTATTTTCTTATTTTCAAGATTGCAAATAAATAAAACTAAGGCAAGAGCTTCTGTCCGCAGCCAGGCACTGTCCAGACCACAGCGGGGTGGGAGGGCAGACCCCACAGTTTGTGAGAGACAGCTGTAAAGAGGATCTAGAACCTGTGGGAAAGGTGCACCCGTGTGTTTGCCCATGCGTGTGTGTCTGTGTCTGAGTTGCAGGGAAAGAAAGGCACCTCCTTTCTCTGCTGTCCATAAATGAGTGTCTTCTTTGTCCTATTTCCAATCTAGAGCAAAGTTATACCAAGAGGCCTCTCCAGACCAAACCAACGGAAGTGGAAAGCTGAGTGAAATGCTCCATAAAAAAAATTCGATTAGTGGAAATAATGAGACAAACACAGACTGGTTGGTTACATTTTCTGAGAATTAATTTCATGTCAGAATTCCTCTGCTGATTGCTGACTTAAGTGGTTTGTTTAAAGAGAAAGGCAGTCAGGCGGTAATATTGCCATCAGATTGCTTTTAGGAGCTACCGTTGTGAGGCTAAACAAATAGAACAATAACACTTTACTTTCTCCATCTCGTGGTGTAGGACATTTTCCAAAGGATCCAAAAGTACTTTGCAGACTATTATACGCAGGGCTGGTAGCACCACTTATTATTAAGATTGCCCAACACTACCCATTATAAAAACCCTGTTTTCAGCTGCATATAACTTTGCCAAATTTTAACCATTTGGGCTGAACTATGTTGGGAAATTTCAGCTAAAATGATTCAGCTGTTTCTGAGAACAAGGCTAGGGAAAAATGCAGCTATGCTGGGGGTTGGGCGAAGCCTCGTTGAAGTTAGTGGATGTAACGGCTGCACTTCATTAAGGGCAAATATAAAAAGCAATTGAGCTCCTTTCTGGAATAAATGTATCAGATCAGGCACCCAACATTAGTGAACACTTTTGACCTTCATCTCTGTGCCTCAAATCCCCACCTGTAAAATGGGGGTACCATCCCCTCACCTCACAGGGGTGGTGTGAAAATAAATGTATTAGCGTTTGTGAAGCACTCCGATACGGTCGTGATGAGTACTGCAGAAAAGCCCCTGAGGAAATTAATATTTCTGTCTTCAGAGCAAGGTTTGCACAGTATGCAGTAAATAAGGGACGAGGCCAGACACTGAACAATGAAAAAACAAAATATTGAATAGCTGCTCATTCAGTGAACGCTGTCCATTCTGTGCACTGAATGATGCAGAGGACCTGTGGAAAAAATAGCATGTGGCCATGTAATTAAAGACTGTATTATAATACATATACACAGGGGGCCAAACTAAGGTTGCATAGGCAGCCTGAATGCTGGTATTTCCTAAGTTTTGAGTACTTGTCTTTGCAACCTTAGTAATGCTCTTTAAACATAATATTTTTGCATTTATTTCTATATCTATGATTGTGATCTATCAGTCTGTCTGAATAATTTCACCCATCATTAAAATACAACCACTTCAAGGGGGAAAAGTTAGAATAGTGAATGGCACCACCATGCAATAGGTGTCCAATAACCAGAGTCTGCAGTGTGCACAGGGCATACTGTCAGGACCAGGATGTGGGTGGTCTGACCTAGTGGTCAGAACAGGGATGGTCATGCCTAGTGGTCAGAGTCAGAGACCAAGCCAGGAGTCAGGGTCACAATCAGGAACCAAGCTGGGGGTCAGAGCTAGAATCAGGGACCAGGGATCAAGAAAAAGTCAGGTCCAGTGCACCAGCCAAGCTGAGAGACTTCCTGACTGCTAAGACAACTTCCTGTGCCTCCTTCTGGCTTAAATAGTATGGTTGGGCCAATCAATGGGGCCGGTCATAGTCCCCAGTCAGGATCCTTGTGGGCGGTGGTCCTGGGCGGGTATTGATCATCATAGCAGATATGTCTAAATGTTTTGCCTCTGTTGTTATGGCAGGATCTGGTGCCACTTCGAGTTGGTGTATCCTGGCCTGTGGGGAGCTTGCTTCTGATGATGAGCTTGTCAAGGCTGGGGGTTGTTTGAAGGCCAGAAGAGGGGGTTCAGGAAAGATTTCTTTCAAGATGTGGTCCCCATCGAGTATGAGTTGTAATTGTTTAGTGATATTCCATATGGGTTTCAGTGTGGGGTGGTAGGTGACAAGTAGGGTTATGCCATCAGAGGTTTTGTTTTTTTTTCCATATTGAAGCAGGTTCTCTCAGGGTATTTGGGTGGCCCATTCCATGATGAGATCTACTTCTCTGATGGAATGTCCTTGTTTGGTGAAAGCAGTTTTAAGTGTATTAAGGTATATATCCCAGACTTTCTCCGCAGAGCATATTCTGTGGTATCTGAGTGTCTGGCTGTAGATAACAGATTTCTTGGTGTGTTTGGGGTAGTAACTGGATCTGTGCAGGTTAGTGTATTGATCTTGGGTTTATAGTTGTCTGTAGGGTTCCACTGTCGAAGCTCGTGGTGGTATCCAGGAAGCTGATGATGGTGTGGGAGAGTTCTAGCAAGAATCTGATGGAGTGATGGGTGGTGGTTGAAGTTGTGGTGGAAATCCATTAGGAAGTTTAGACTATGAAAATATCATCAAGGTATATCATTGGTTTTGTGGTGCATTTTTCCAGAAATTCTT